TCATAATATCGTTCAGAGAACGCTTCAAGCACCCTCTGTATTTTCTGTGATTCTCCAGGCAATCTGAACGTCTCCAAAAAGATTCTCAAGGCAGTATCTAGGTTCATAATCCCGAAAATCGAATGTCCTTGCAAATTCATGAAGCACTTGAATATAGAATTCTTCATGACTTCCCAAGAAATCCCCAACAAGATTCTTATCCAAGCCATTTGTAAATCTAAAGAAACATGCTACACTTTTTGGGTCAAGTTTATCAGGTAACAGATGCACTGCTTGGAGAAATTCCATACCCTTCTTTGGATCACGGGGTCATATGAGGTTGATAATATTGAGAAATCTGTTTTCATCCATGGCAGGGCAGCTATCTTTGAAGAAGTGTACAAGCTTATGTTGCGGTTAAATTTGGAGGTTTGTTGATTAGATGATGTTATGATGACTGAATATGTTTCATTTGAAACTATCTTATATTGTTAACTAATATAGGAGCTTTTGTTGGGAAGGGGGGGGGGGGGGGGGGGTTATTATTTCCCTGCTTTTCTACTTCTTTTGTGTGCACTGGGTTGGGGGGAGGTGAACGTTATGGGCTCTGTTCTATATTCATGATTCATCCACGTCCATCTCTTTTACTGTTAGCCTTAAAACGTTAATTACAAAAAAATTCAATCATCAAAAAGGAACTTACATTGTATTTCCTTTTTGTAGGCTGACTTCTCTGAGTTCTCGCGTTTCTATGATTTTGTCTTCTTCATTTGCAGAGAAAATGGACAAAAGAACATCAGTAAGTTGATTACTTGTAAATGATCTTGCAAGCAAGCTTGCTCATTCTTCATTAAACATTTTACAGTGTATTTAGCTCCATGTCAATCTTATTTTGCATTCAAAAATATTTTCAGCTATAAGCAAAGCTGTTACTGCCTGGAAATTAGTTTTAGCTGGAAGGTTTCGGCTACTTGACCACTGGTGTAACTTTGTTGAGGTAAGTGTCAGTGCTGCTAATGGATCTCATATCATGTGTTCGGTTGCATTGTTCATCTGTTTGTATGCCTTAAATTATTAAAAATTCATCAATTACATAGGTATGTGCTTGCTCGAATCTTGGCTTCTCTTAGATTAATTGAGTAGAGAGTTAGTTTGGTTTGTAAAGTTTGCCTTAAATGTCAATGTAATACAAACAAAAGGTCTTGTCATCTGATGAATAGAAGTCGTAGATCGTGGATGTCGCACCATTAGCACTCATGTGGGTCGTATGGAAGGAGAGAAATATGAGCGCTTTTGAAGGGATAGAGAATGTCTATATATTTGAGGACAACCTCTCAT